ATGGGAAGGATTACCCTGTAATTTTGTATAGGAAACCCTAGGTAGGGGCTTTTGCATAAAAGGCTGTGTGTGGATCTGAATAAAACAGTTCACTCCCAGCATTCAGTTGTAACTAATATCTGTGGGGGAAGCTATACCTGCTTTGGATAATCGCTACTTGGGGAATTCTACTCTTGATTACTACTATGGTTGGAATTACTGCAGCAGAGCTCTGTAAATAGGTAAAAAGACCTCCTTGGTGGTGAAACCCGTGTTCTTGTCCGGGTGGCCGCAACATGGACTTGTGCAGCACGTGTCCAGTCCTCTCTCATATCCACACTGTTAGAATTATATAATTACTCTGAATACTGAATAATAACATTTTATTGTAAAAACATCATGCTACTTTAACAGACTTTTGGGCGCACCATGGACAATTGGGATATTTACTGTCACTACAGGCAAATTTCTGCCACTTCTAAAATCTTATAAACGCCAAAATAGTGAGAATCCCATACAGAGAGTTTACAGCATCAGACAGCAAAATGCAACATGCAGAGCTGATAGAATATTACTGTGAAAGGATTGCAGTTTAATCAGCTAATAGTGAATACTGTATCACGTTCACTGGAACTCACTGTTTATTCAATAAATCCTCTAAAATGCTGATTTATGAAAGGTGTGCCATTATATCAGTGGGTACTCTGAAGCCTCACATCTTTGGAGTGCCAGGGAGTGAAATGGTTTATCTAAAGGAAAACTCTAAAACTCATCACCTTCAGACAGGCTTTGAGATTTACAGTCAACAGATTCTTGAATGCAGGCACCCCCTAACCTTACAGGGCAACTATCATCAAATGTAATATAGTGTTAATTCTTCTTTTTGGACGTTACACTGGTTTTAGCAGGACCCTGGTTACCTTTGACTTGTATGATCTGTTCCCCCTTTGGTAAAAGTTGCTAAATATATACGGGATAAATTACCTTCATTTCTCTTCAGCCTTCTCCAAGCGTGACAACCCCCGAGGATCCCCAAACCAAGGAACTTTCCAAAGAAACAGATACTTTTCTAAAAACAAATGTAAACAGAATTATTCTTTTATGTTTTTCACAAAATATAATCTTGTCATTTGAAATGTGCTGTTACTCATTTGCAGTAATAAAAAAAACAAGCACCTTGTGTGGCCTACGAGTTTATAGCGGGACGTCGATGCCAAGATGATGGAGGAAGCAATAAGAAAGCTTGACAAATGGAAGACAGAGATTTATTAAAGGAGAGAAACTAATAAACCAGGAAATGGCAGAAAAGACGCCATCTAAACTTTAAATATTTAAAATAAAGTTGTTTTTGTCAATTTGTTTGTTGTTTAAGGAACTGTTTGGAACAAGGTGTAGTTTTGCCATTGTAAGTCCATCTGCAAAGCACAATGGCGTAAAACAGGATCAGCGACAATACCCATTATTAAGAAGCTGAAAGGTTAGAGCAGCAGTAGAAGTTCAGATTGGGTTTGGAAGGTTGGAAAAATGGTGTCTGATCTGACGAACCTTGATTTCCATTTTGACATTCAAATGCTAGGCTCAGAATGCAATGTGAACAACATGAATCCATGGATCCTCCTGCCTGGTGTATTCAGTGCAGACTGGTGGCCACGGTGTAATGTTGAGTGGATACTTTGTTGGTGCTCACTATGACCCTTAATGCCAAGTGAGCATTGTTTAAATGCCCCTGCCTATTTGATTATTAATACTTATCACGTGCATCCCTTTATGTCCGAGATCTACCCATCTACCACATCCAGCAGGTAATCAGCCATGATACGAAGCACATTGTCAGGAAATTTAGAAAGATAGAAATTAAAAGTGTATATTGCCAGAGTCACTCAGAACAAAGCGGACTCCATTTTGCTATCTTCCGGCAAGACAGACACAAAATTTCTTTCCTTTCTGTAACTAGCCACTAGCCTGAGCGAAGGAATGCATTATGTAAACAAGCCAAGTGATAAGCAATGAAGCAGGGGGATGAAATGCTCGGTTTAAATGTTAATGGAATCGAAATAATTTTAAACACAGACACTAGTGACAGAGAAGACTCAGTAATTAATTTTACTTTCTAAATCTTACAAGGTCCCATTGTAAGTAAGGGGTGAAATTGAGTTTAGACATGTCAATACTAGAAATTACAACAGGAATTGTCGACGCGGTCTCTGGAGAAAATCCAAAGAAACGCTTTGAACTGATGGCAAATTTAAGTTATGATAGTCATTTTAGATAAGCCAAATGACATCAGAATCATCATCAAAATAAGTTAACTCTTTCGAGGACATAACATTTTGATGAGGCAATTGCGCCCTCTATTGACCAAAAACTAGATAATACTAGATAACTTAGACACACCTACAGTTTCCTATTGGCCTTATCAACTAATGACGTACAGATAATCTTTCCCTTTAAAAAGTTAGGACAAAGGGAAGAGAGAGGTGAGTTTTGGGCTGTCAGATTTGGACATTCAGAGAAATCCAGGACAGATATTCAGGACACTCTGGGACTAACACTCAACTCTCAAACTCTCTTGGACACAACTCAATCAACACTCCTTGACACTTAGAATTTTACTATTACTTTCTAACCAACATCACTTTTCTCTATTACTTACACACCTCCATACAACCAATCATACTCGCATTCAAGTTCCTGGGACTACCTACTCATCTGATGAGAACATCTACGTCATAACTGGTAATTATGCTAGTTTTATTTAATTAATCTAAATTAATTAAAATCTATTATAGCAGGATACATGCATGGATAAATCATGATCAGATCCCATAATTGAGGAATCTTAATTAAATAAAGAATATGTAGTTATAACACTCCATTCTGCAGGTGGAGTCAGATAATTACATAGTACTGGTATCTTACCACGTGTTAGCATACCGCTGTTTTTATCCATGTGTGTTGATTTGCTCTGAAATAAGATAAGATATCTTTTTAGGCAAATTAAAATTTGGCTTATAGAATCTGTAGATTTTACTCTTTTGGATGGTTCCAGGAAATGATTAATGAGCTGGTTTGAATGTTATTTTAATTGAAAATTACATGAGAATAGGATACTATATGCCTAGGAGGATCTAGCCAGTATTGAAATGGTTACTCAGTTGATTTAACTGTTAGCCAAGTGTAACGGACCGTTTTGCACAAAAGGGAAAAAAAACGCTTAGACGATAATCCCCTTTCAGAGACAGGCACAGCTACTGTAGAATCACCCAAAACTCACGAATTGAATACAAGTGAATGCACCAAACACCCGAACTGCATACAAGGGAATGCTCCAAACACTCGAACTGCATACAAGGGAATGCTCCAAACACTCGAACTGCATACAATAAGTGAATGCTTCAAACTCCCAAACGGCATCCAATATAGCACTCCAAACAGACGAACAGGAACCATACGAATTGCTGCTACCAGACGAATAGGAAAAGCATCCAAGCGGCTTACACTCCTAGCAATCAGTCTCTATCAGCATTCAGTAAATCCCCCCAAAGACGAGACAAGGCTCCGTGTTGAGGGTCAAGCAGTGGTCTGTTTAATGAGGGCTACCTGCCCAGTATTTATGCAGGTCTCCCACCTGGTGGACACTCCCCTAGGGGACCAAATGGGAGACTGTGACAAGGGACAGACAAGTAGACAAATAGGACACACAGTCACAGTATATTCCCACAATGCATCCTGGCTTCCTCCCCTCTGCCCTGGGAGATAATTGGGAAGTAACTCAATTATCTCCCAAGACAAAGGCAAAACTCCATTACACATGTGGGGACACAAAACCAGTATTATACTTTAAAATACATAAAGTAACATTTATTACATAAAACACAGACATGTAACATATCCCCAGATAGCTCAGGTCTGAGTGCACAGTATTAGGTGAATGGCACTCAGACCACACGAATACAGTTTAATCGCCATGGAGCCAAAGTCTTTACAGTCAGTTTCATATGAATGGGCTCCATGGGATTCCTATCTGGGGTATAACCTATTCAAACAGAACTACCGAACACCGGGCCGTTCGTGCACTTCCACCGAACAAGAAGGGAGGTCGGCGGCTTCAGCGGTGTTCGCGCAAAACTGTGTCCGATTTTAGTTCCATGAAAATAGGGGCGAACACCGCTGTGCATTCGTATGTTTAAAATGGCTGCGACCTCGTGTTCGGGACACGAATGGCGGCCACCCAGCATTCGTCAATTAAGCTGCGGTTAACCGCAGCTTCAGGGAGGTTAATTGCTGGCACACTCCAGCTCCCAGGTGGTCCAGTCATTCGTACGGTTGTTCGGTAGATTGAATCTACCGAACCCCAGGCAGAAAAGCACGAATGAAGCAACCAGGCTTCTCCAATGCAATGTGGCGAGATTGGTCTCGTCACACCAAGGTTTTATGGCTTTTCGCTGTGTGAAGTTTTGCTTTCTGTGTCTGTGAAGTACTCTCATAAATCTTGTAAGTCTTGACAGTTGATGCTGTAGCTTTGTACTGTGTTTAGCCATTGCCATTGTATACGACATTATACTAAATATTCACTGATTATTATCATGCATGCTGCCTAATATTATTATTATTATTTTATTTGTCACAATAAATTATATCTATTTTTATAACAAATTGTGATTTTATTTGTATGGAATACATTTCACTTACATGAAAACGATCTCTAAGATCTAAGAGAATTAAAATAGTGGGCAATTCTCAACTGTATAATATTATCATCCCATAAATATCCCCACAACATGTCACATCAAGTATTAGGATGAGTTTAGTGCCGTTTGCGTCTTCCACAGTCACCAGATCTCAATCCAACAGATCGTGTGTGGAATGTTGTGGAATGTGGGAATCACAGCATGATTGTGCAGACGACAAGTCTGCGGTAACTGCGTGATTCTCTGATGTTGACCTAGACTAGAATCTCTGAGACCAAAGTTTCCACCATCTTGCCAATCTATGGCACGAATTTGGCAAGCATTCTGTCATGATTCATTGTGATTGGCAGGTCTGAGGGAAAGTGGAGTCTCATCTGGTATTAGAAAGATAAACCTTATAAAGTGGTCACTGAGAATGCATTTGTATTTGTTTGTGCTTAATTAGAAAAGCAGATCCACACGACAAGTTTACTTTGGTACCCTTTTAATCTTCAAATAAATCTGGTTTTGTAAGGCTCAGGTTATTCACTATGATGTGTGCACATGATTTACAATCTAATTACTTTGTTAACCAGATGGAGTATCCCATCACAGTAAATTACATAGAAGAGATGTCAACCACCCATTGATCACGTAATCCTGAGCATCGGGTATTCGCAAAATACACTGATCAACCACAACATTAAAGCTAAAAAACAACCAACAATATTGTACCTTATACACCTTAATATATATGCAAAAGATACTTATCAATCTACAAGAATTGGAAAATATTGAATGGCATTCTAGTTATAGTTGGGCCACATTGGATGTGTCATCCCTTTATACTATAATCAGCCATAAATTGGGATTGGAAGCAATTAATCACTTTATGACTGAAGACCAACATTTACCTCAGGATATCAAAGAGTTTATCTTACATTCAGTTAAATTTATTTTAGAACATAATTATTTTTTCTTTAATGATAAATTTTATTTACAAATCACGGGGACCGCCATGGGCACCAGGTTCGCCCCCAGTTATGCCAATACCTATATGCGGAGATGGGAGGATCTTACCATTTGGGCTGGTCATGACTGGAGGGAGAACCTGGTGCTCTGGCGGAGATATATCGATGACGTTATTATTATTTGGAAGGGGTCATTTTCTACTTTTCAATGTTTTGAAAACTATTTAAATCAGAATAAATATAATTTAAAATTCACTTCTGTATGGCATCAGAATGAAATCAGTTTTTTGGATCTGTCCTTAATATGTGATAATGATTCCATAAAAA